CATAAATAGTATTTTTAGCATCTTCAAGGGAGAGTTAGCCAGCAGTCTTTGGCAAACAGCTCCCATTGAGGCAGGAAAGGTTCGGAAGTGCTTGTGTTTGTAAACAGCGTCCCTTCTCCATGAGAGCAGTGAGAGGAGAGGGAGGTGAGTTCAGCTCAAGAGTGGAAGTGTTTGATGGACTGGGCAGGAGAGCACAGGCCTTCCTCAGGTGAGACTTCAAAAAAATTCTGGATAGAGTGGGAGATCCTTGGAAATCAGCAACAAGTAGAGGAAAAAAAAAAGCAAAAAAAAAAAAAAGCCCTCATAATTCCTGTTGGAGGGAAGAACCTGATATAAATACCTTAAAAAAAATAAAATGGCTTTTGGAGCTTTCTCTTGTTTACATGTGTGAGCTTGCTAATTAATGATCTTCTCAATTCATCATGCACATTCATCAGGCAGAAGCTCTTTGAATTGTTTTTGTCTTCAGAATATCTTTTCCTGTGTTTTTTCCCTTTCAGCAGAAAGTGACATGTAAATCTTTTGGCAGCATTTTGTTACAAGTGACCTGGGGTCCTCTGAGGATTTAAACTTCAGTGAGGGAATAAAAGTGTTACATTGATGGACTATAATGGGAGGTGTGGGTAGATTTCTTACAGACTGCAATGAAGTAATGGCTTTTGTCATGTATAGTTTAGTCTGTAGAATAATAAATGATGGGTGAATAAGTAGTATTTGGGAGGAGGGTTTATGTTTAAGCTTATTCTATCTAGGCAAGGAGGAGATGGCCTATAAAGGGTTCAAACCCTGGTATGTAACACTTGCAGCCTAAATTTTCATTCAGGTGTCAGCAGTTTGTCAAAATTCATGAAGTTGGATCCTGAATTAAGATATTTTATCCAAGGCTATGAAAACTTTCAGCAGAAGATTTTCATTTTGGAGTTGTTTTAAGTTTGTGATCTGTCCTTGTTTTTTAAGCTCAAAGCTGAACCCTGTGAACTCTAAAGGGGTGATTTCATCCCTCAGTGGCCATGTGGCATAGACAGAGTGTGAGAATTTGGATCAAGGGCCATTCTAGCCAAAAACTGTTGTTCCTCAGGGCTTGTCACCATCATGATCCTGAGCATCAGTGTGGAGATGGATTATTTTGAGACAGCCATGCAGGCAGAAATTCTGCATCATATTAATCCCTTGGCTGAAGTTTCTGTGAGTTTTAGGTATGATGGTAGTGTAATTTAAGTTGCTTGCTGACTGTGGCTGTTTGGGGACATGAGGAAAAACTCCTGGGTGTTGGAATGGAAAATAATCCAGGCAATGGAAACGATCTGTTCTGCCTTCTGTGCAGGTCAGAGATTGATGGAGAAAGAATCAGAAGCCCATAGTGGTTTTCTGTTGGGCTGGTGTTCTTTGTGTGGAGAATAGTAAACAGACAAGTGCTGAGCTCAGCCCTGGGTGGGAGCATCAGTCTCACTCTAGTAATGTGCCTTTTTTTTTTTTTTTTTTTCTTTCAGTGAAAGCAGCATCTGTGTGCACAGAAGGGCAGGGTTTATGCTCTGTAGAAACTGGGACAGGCAAGGTGTCAGTTGGGTTGCATTCGTGGCATTTGGAGTCAGAGGCTCAAATTCAATGCTGAATGAAAGTGTTTTCAAATTAAAACATCTTTAGGCTTAAAAGCCCCTCCTTTGGGTCTCTGAGTGTAGGAATTCCTGGGATGCTGGAAGTGTGAGGGATTTTTGCTGTGCTCCCCTGAACCCTAAAGTACATGGGATTTGTTGTTCCCCCATAACCCCAGGCAGGGAAGGAGTGGCTGGAAATGGACGCTGTAACACAGGCAGGCTCAGGAATGCACTGCTTGGCAAGTGGGGAGCCCTTGGATGGGTGAGCTGGACCACTGCTCCTGGTTAATTGAAACAAGCTGCCCACAGCTCAGGTAGCCTGGAACAGAGCCCCAGGAGCCTCCACCGCAGGAGAGCTGCAAAGGCAGACCTTGGAGCTCAGTCAGGGGGAAATGTCAGACAGCTGGGACACCTGGGAAATGGCTCTAAGGATCGGGACAGAGGTTGTTGAATGCAGCAAGAGTGATGGGAGTGTCAGCTGCGCTCAGCCGCACGCGAGGGAGTTTCCAAGTGGGTTGGCAAATAAAGAATCAGAAGTTGGAATTAACTTTGTATTCTCAATTCAGAACATATTTTATTAATCTGCAGGACTTTAGGCTGGTATAAATGACTAAGTGCTCCTGGGCTGACTTAGCCAAGAGCACAGGCAGCTCCGTGGGCTGGAAAAGCCGGAGTGCTGGAACACGGCAGCGTGCGGGCAGTGACAGCACCAGAACTCCTGACAGACACGTTTGTATCCAAGATGGTGCTGGGTGATAAACTGTGACCATGAGGGTTTGACAAAATATCTGCTACCTGGGCTGGGTTTTTAGGAACAGCTTTGAGGATTTCAAGGGGACAAAGCCTTGAAAGAGTTATGCAGCTAGCAAGTTAGAAGGTGATGAGTTTTGGCATGTTTGATTTGGATTTTCAGAAGTATTAACATTTCCTGTGCTTTTATTCTGCAGCTTCCAGAACATTTAAATGATCTTGTGCATTATAAAGTAGTAAATAATTCTCAGGAACCAATAGCTTGTTTTTTAAACCCAGTTTTACTTTGCTTTTTAAGGCTTTCTGATAACAAACAGCTGTTCTTACTTGTATTGCCTGTTGGATCACCTGTTGGGTTTGATGCCCTGCCTTCTAACCTGCAATTGCATAAAACCCTTTTTTAGCCCTTTTTGACCCCATTTCTAGGCCGGTGTCGTGTACTTTGTACCCAGTCACATTTAAGGACATCAATCACCCGTGGGTGTTGTGTGACAGTAAGGGGACACCCCACTGGCCCAGGATTGGATATACTTCCTCATTTTTCCATTGCATATTTGTTTTCAGCCTGCTCGCCCTACCTTGAGTCCTTATGAGCTGGAGTTTCTGGAGTGACTTTCTGTACTTTGGTGAAGGTTAGCACCCTGGTGCTGTTTTCACTGCTGATGTGATTATAGTTTTCTGACATTTGATCAGATTTAAATGTTCATTAAAATCACCCTTGAAACCTGCATCTGCAGGTGGTGGCCTCTTCCCCCTTTCAAGGCACAATATTTGTTTGATGTTTGTGTAAAACATGCCTGGGAATGCAGAGGGAACCAACAAGCCTGAATTTCTGCTGGATACCAGCTTGTTTGCATGTATTGTGGGCACAGGAACAAGGAATTGTACTCTTGAGAGCAAAAAGACTCCAGTGCTTTATACACTGATCTAAACAAAAGGGTTTTAAAAACTTAGGGAATTTTAAGTCAAAGTTTGGAGTACTGTTTTCATGCATGTGTCATGCAGGTCACACAGTTAAAAAATAATTAAAGCCCAGGACCATGTCAGCCACAGTGTGGCTTGTGTGTGTGTTTAATCCCAGGGAATGTGTCTTCTGTTGCCCCCAGCTGATTTCCCTGAGGGGGAATCTGTAGTTGGTTATTTTGGACTCACTTCAAAATTCTGGCATTTTCTTGAAGGGCTTTAGACTCTGCTAGAAAAAACACTGGATCCTGAGCTGAAGCCTGGTGAAAATGCTCATTTTTTTTTCCTTTCACTTTCCACACTTGAGGAAGGAAAGTCCCTTAAAACAGGACAATTTTTTTTTTAAGTGCTGTGCTATATTCTGTATATTCTGGTTGGCAATTAGTATATTTTCACATCCTGACATTTCACAAGAAAGCTTCATTCATCTCATTTTTTTGTTTTGTTGGCATGTGGTGTGGTTTGATATTTCTGTTTTGCCTCAGAAGAAAACAGCCGGTGCTGTTGAGCTTTGCTTTCCCTGGTGCTGAGGCAGGACAGTTCCCCGTGGGTTCTCAGAGTGGCTGTTGAGTTGTTGTCAGAAGTGTCTCTGGCTGGTTAGGGATCCCCACTGCTGAGCAGGGACAGGACTGTGTTTTTGGGGAGGTGGTGTTGGTGTGGTACAGAGCACCTACCTGTGCAGTGGGGAGAGCAGTGCTGAAACTGCGCTGAGAGCTTGGAAACAGGGCTGGGGCTGCTGCTGCTCTGTTCAGGCTGGAGAAATACCTCTTGAAACAGAAAGTTTATGGTAAGTGCCTGCCTTCTGAGCAAAAGGAGACACAGAGTAGGTGAAAGCAGGGCATATCTCTTTCAGGAAGGGAGGAGGGCAAGCTGGAGCTTGACCTTCGGATGCAATTGGGACAGGTCCAGATGTGGTTTGCTGGAGGTGAGGCTTTGCTTCTGAGGTTTTTAAAGGGAATGCTGAGAGGAAGTGAATGAGCCAATGAATCCTGGTTTTGTGATGGAATTAGTGAAGCCCCTCTCCTTAGGAGTGCAGTGCCCAGTGCAGGCAGATGGGCAGCAGGTAAGAAAGGCTGTAAAAGCACAATAGTAGTAGGGTGTGAGACATGATGAGGGTTAAACTGAGCTTAACCCATTTGTTATCCATGACAGTGCATGTGTTTGGAGCAGAGCTTTGGCACGCTTGTTTTCTGGTAGAAGGCATGGAGACTGCTCTTCTGATTGTCTTTTTTTTTGTCAAAATATTTCTTAATTTCTTTAAATTGCATGGGGTTTAGTTTGGGGGGGCATAGCTTGGGTTCCCAATGCTTGTATCTTCTCCCTGGGATGTAATGGTGTCATTCCTTAGCTCCATGTGCCAGCTCCTGCTTTTTCCCAAAGTCACTGAGTGACCAGTTCCCTCACTCAGTGAAATGGCTGCTTCTCATCAGTGTTTGCCCTTAACTTAAAGAGCCTTTTTACCTTTCAGCCATCTTCTAAAGGAGCAGGTCTGGCTTGCACCTTTCCCTTTTCTGTTCCACCCATAGCTCACCAGTTTGCATACATGTTTTAGCACCTTTGTTGAATGCAAGTGTTGCTTGTCAGTTGTGTAAGTCATTTATCCTTTTCTTTTTAATCTTTAATTTGATAGATACGTGGACCTACATGTTTTTGTTTTGTTAATTTTCACACCACATCTTTTCTGTACTTTAGGTTGACTCCTCACTGCACTGTGAAAACCATTAGGAAAAAGTCCTTGGGGTTAAAACCTGGGGCTCCACAGTTACCTGCACTTGGGGCTAGAAATTAATTTAAATGTCGACTGATCTGTCTGAAGCTGAACCCGTGCATCATAAGGCGCTTCCACTCTTAACGGGAGCTCAGCTGATCCACACGGACAAGTTAAGTGAGGTAGGGGCTGGCCCTTTCTCCAAGCTTGCCCTTGGATCAGTCCTTGACTTCCAGTCCTGCTCAAGGTTACTCAGTACTCTTTCTCCCCTGCTTCTAGGAAACTCGACTGGGAGTCCAACAAACTCTGCTTCCCCTTCCCTGCTTTCCCTGAGATGATATGTCTGTCAAAATCCTCAAATGCTCATCTCATTTAATTTGGAATTGAAATAATTTCTTTTATAACCATAAAATGTGGAACTATCCTCTCCTATAATTCTTTGAAGAAGCTGTTTTGAGGGCTACTGTCTTTTAACATCCTAAAAAATCCAAACCAGAGTATCTCTACCTATGCTGCTCTGATTTACTTTAATCCCATTTCAAAACTTTCAGATTCTTTCCAGCATCTGTGCTGATTCTCATGTGTTTTTTGTAGAAAGTGGAAGACGACACAATGCCAATCCGTCGCTCGGTGAACGCTTCTTCCCGGGAAACTCCTCCCAAAAGCAAACCTGCCGAAGGGGAGGAGGTCAAAGCAGGTACAGTCAGTGGAGGGGATTGATGCAGACATGGCTGGCTCTGAAACTCCTGCAAAACCCTACAGACAAGATGAAACTATTACTACAGGCTTCTCCAAGATTTGTGTTTTGCAGACACTGTTTTCAGTCTGAACCCACTTGTTTTGTCTTTCATATCTTGTGTCATGCCAGACATGGCTAAATATTTATGGCTAAATATGGTCCCTTGAAAGTTTGCGCATCCTTTAGGGTAAAGAAATGATGAAGTTTCAGTAGTGTCAGAAGGATGGTTTGAGATCAAAAGGTGGAGTTAATAAATGGAAAAAACAGAGTATTCAAATTTTTTTGCTATTTTTCTGAGCAAAAATGTTTTACCACAATGTGTCATGCAATCTTGCCTGATATTAACGTGGCTGGTTTTAGCAGCTTGGCCTCAGTGTCCCAGAATGTGTCATTTCACTGATTTTTGTCCTTTTTGGTGTCACAAATAAAAAAAACTACCTGCAACACTGACTCGTAATTCACTGTGTATTTTAAATGCCTCCATGGGAAAACTGCACAGGAACGTATCAGAAATGCTTAAGCTGCACAGAGCAGTGTTGGTGGGCAGTTCTTTATCCAGAGAGTGTGGAATTTCAGTTTAAATGCATTTTATCTAGCAGGCAGCCCAGTTTCTCAGGCCTGTTCTGAGCTAAATATACTTTTATGTATTTTTTATTTCCTTGATAAGTTGATTTCTGACTGGATTTGATCCTTCTGATGTACAAATGCTCCTGCCAATGCACGTGCCACCTAAAGCTTTGCCAAGTCTGGGAAAATGTGATGGAATTGTAATTATCCCTCAGGTGCTTTTGTGTTTAAAATTAACTGGGTCATAAGCAAAGCTATTTCTTAGAATGCCAGGCCTGTCTGCAACAGCAGCTTGTGGAGTTGAGAGGAGAACACTCGGAACTGGTTAATTGTGAAAATATTGCATAATGTTGTTTGCAGTTATTCTGGCATTTGAGGGCTGATTGCATCTTTATTGAAGCTCTTTCCAGTACTTTTCTACACTTTTAAATTGCTTCTAAATAACACTAATAAGTTAGTGAAAACAAATTGGTGGGAAGTAATTAGTGGGGTGTGCTCTTAAGTTTGGTTTTTTCCCCTCTACCTTCTTAAAGAATAAAAGCTTGGTTTTGAACAGTAACTTTGTTTTTTCACATTTTCTAGATGCAGAAGTCACCTCTGAGGAATCTGCCTCTGTTGGAGAGGAACAAGAGCCTGAAACCCTGCCTGCTGCATCCAATGAAGCAGAACAGCCAAAGGAACCTGAGAATGAAGGGAAGGAGGAAACTAAGTCCTCAGAAGAAACCAAAAAGGAGTAAGGCTTTCTTGGCATGGAATTCAGGGTTTTGAGGAGGATTCTGAAGGAAGTCAGGCTCTAAGAGAGAAAAGATAGTGGGAGAGAAAAGGAAAATGAATGCCTGAAGTTGCTTCTCCTTAAGATACTTCTAAGGAAGAAGCTACTGATCATGTGGAGCTGCTGTTCTTGAACAGATATGAGGCATAATAGTGATACAGAGCCTCTTTTTTTACTAATAGGAACATCAAAATAGTCCTTAAGTTATGTTAATTTAAATAGTGTCAGATAGTCTGGGCTTTGTTTTGTTTGGTTTTTTTTCGTGTCTGTCTTGTTGGCTTTAGTGCCTCCTGTCTTACTGTTGCTCTGTATTTTCCCTAAGTGAGAAGGAGCAGTCTAAGGAGAAGGAGAAGAAGGTGAAGAAGACCATCCCTGCGTGGGCCACGCTCTCTGCCAGCCAGCTGGCTCGGGCACAGAAGCAGACTCAGATGGCAGCCACCTCCCGGCCCAAAATGGATGCGATTTTAACCGAGGCCATCAGGGTAAGCAGGACACAAATGTGGTTTTTATTCAATTTATGTTCTAAAACACGATTTCAGCTTGCTGAGGGGCAGGTGACAGTGCTGTGTGTTAGCAGGAAGCTGAGTGTGTAAGATGGATGTGCCTGTGCCTGGAACACCATGTAGCTGGCATCTTGTGGTGGCCTGTGTGCATCAGTCCAATCTCTGTTTTTCCACCCCTCTCAGGATAATTCCAGTGTAGGTGGTTTCTAGTGTTCTGTTTCTGTTTCAGGCCTGCTTTCAGAAGAGCGGTGCCTCGGTGGTTGCAATACGGAAATACATCATCCACAAATACCCTTCCCTGGAGCTGGAGAGGAGGGGATACCTCCTGAAGCAAGCACTGAAAAGGGAGCTGGAGAGGGGAATCATTAGGCAGGTAAGAGCTGCTTTGTGGGGTGGCATTGCTGAAGAGAGACTGTTTCCAAGGGCCTGGAGTGACAGGACAAGGGGCAATGGCTTCAGAGTTCCAGAGAACAGGGTTAGATGGGATATTGGAAAATGATCCTTCCCTGTGAGGGTGGGGAGGCCCTGGCACAGGGTGTCCAGAGCAGCTGTGGCTGCCTCATCCCTGGCAGTGTTCAAGGGCAGGTTGGACGGGGCTTGGAGCAGCCTGGGATAGTGGAAGGTGGCCCTGCCCATGGCAGGGGTAGAACTGGGTGGTCTTTAAGATCCATTCTATTCAAAACCATTCCATGATTCTGGGAACTGCACAGGAATTTCTTAACTTCACTAGAAGATCTGTGGAATGAACATGTTCTTCCTCGTGGAGGTTCATCATCCAGTGTCTCTGCTTTGCTGGACACTGTCAGGATTTCAGCACTGTTGTGTCAGTCACATACTTGGCACTGTTGGTTTTTGTGCAATTCCTGGCCATTTCTGGGTGTTGTGTCACACACCATTGCAGCAGCACGAGTCCAGCAGTGTCACTTCTGCAGCAGTGTGGGTTTTAACGCAGTAATTTATTCTGTGTTATCTGTCAGGATCTCTTGGTCAGAACAGCAATATCCCAAAGCCTGGCTGCTGTTTCTGGTCTTACTGAAGGTTCAGTGGGTTCAAATCAGGCCACTGCCATAAAAACCCACTGCAGGATGACTGTATTGAAAATCTGCATCTTGGTGTGAGTCTGTCTCAGGTTGTTAGTATTGTGAGTTGCTCTGTTAAGGACTGAAATGGACTTTCTCTTGAACCAGGTTAAAGGAAAGGGAGCTTCTGGGAGCTTTGTGGTGGTGTCTAACGCAGGAAAAACTGTTCCAAAAGCCAGAGACAGAAAGGTAAGATGGATCATTTTAAACAACACTCTGAAATGTACTGCACAGGAGCACATGTACCTTACCCAATGTTCTCAACCCAGTGCTCTCCTCCTTGCTGTGCTTTTTCTCCCCAAGTACAGCAATTGAAACACCCATCCCACTGATATCAGACTCAGAAAACTACTACGAGGCATTAAACCCAAGTCAAATTATCACAATCTCAGTTTTAAAATGTTTACATTAACCCCCTAGGCTTTGGTTCAGAGGCAGAAAACTGAATAACCATGAAACTCTTCCTCTCTTTACTGGGCAGAGAGAGGTGACTCTCAGGTGTTGGTATTTATGCTACTGCTGTGTGTGTTTTATCTGTTGGGTGGATAAAGGGAAGACTCCAGTCTTTAGAACTGAGGGCAATGTTTTCCCATCAGCTATGAGGACAGAGGGAGGTAGAAGAAAATATCCTAAGGCTTCTGGAAGAAAGCTGCTGATGCTGGGTGTTGTTGGGGACTAATGTGAAGGGGTTGGTTTTTTGAGCTTCACAGCTAGTTGTGGCTCCAGCACTGCTGATCTCCACCCCATGCTGTGCTGAGTGTGTGAAACACATTCCTAATGTTGCAGTTACAAAATGGTTATCTGGAATTGCCAATCCCTTGGGATTAGACAGGTGGAGTTAGACAAGTAACACCTTGGTGGTCACCTCTTGCCTCCCTGGGAGACCAAAAGCCCTAAAACTGAAGGAAATGTTCTCACACTTGGTGTAGGGCCCTGGAGGAAACTAATTGTAGTGGCACTTTTTAAACAGGGCTCACTGGCTCCACAAGAAGTGTGAGCAAGGCAGCTCAGCAGGCAGTGTGAGGAGCACTTATCCCACATGTACATTGCTGATTCAGAAATGCAGAGTTTTAGGCCCTGCTGACACATAAAAATCTCTGTGTTTCAGAAAAGCAGTTCGGCTCTGAGCACAGAGCAGCAGGTGAAGCTGGAGGATGTCCTGCCGCTGGCCTTCACCCGCCTGTGTGAGCCCAAGGAAGCTTCTTACAGCCTGATCAAGAAATACGTGTCTCAGTATTACCCCAAACTCAAAGTAGATGTAAGGTAAGTGCTGGAGTTGCTTTAGCAAGCAGAGGATTGGGGAAACTTGGCCTTCCTCTCCTTCTATCTCACTTCACGATGATTCAGTCTGGTTTAAGCCAGGTGCTGCTCCAAGTTGCAGAGCCTGTGGGAAAGCTTGAGGAAAAGCTGTGCCTTTTCCTGCCTCCCTCCACATTCCATCTTTGTTCCTGACACCACCAGCAGCACTGCTCTGCACACCTTAACCACACCCACATCCCTTTACTGCCTGGATGTGAAGGCCTCTCCTCGGAGTTTCATCCCCCTTGGATGTGCTTGCTTTAGCCAGCACATATGTACAGTAATCTTTAAGCTGACCTGTATGGAGTGAGGCTTGGGAAGCAAAACTAGGAAAACCCTGCATATCACCTCTAACAGGGTTCTGTCAGCCCCTTGTTTGCCTGTGAGCTGAGTGCCCACCATGTCCAAATGTGCTGCTCAAGGTAAGTGGATCCTTGCCAGGGCCGTGTGCCTGGAGCTGCCGGCAGTGCCGTGCCACCGCTCAGATCCCAGCGTGGTGCCACGTTCTGCCTGGGCAATGAGCCTCACTGACAGATCTCCATTTAAAGTGTCTGCATGTAGGCAGACACTCTAAGTGCTGCTCTGCTCACACGCTGCAAAGCGCTGTTTCTCTGTTTGTTTTTGGAGCTGTCAGTGTGTGTCAGTAAAGCTTTCTCCTCCTGTGTTTCAGACCCCAGCTGCTGAAGAATGCCCTGCAGAGAGCTGTAGAGAAGGGCCAGTTAGAGCAGATCACAGGGAAGGGAGCGTCTGGGACATTCCAGGTCAGAGACTGGGTTCATCTTTGTTGACCACAAGCCTTGGATGTCAGTTACTGCGCCCTGTCCCCTGGTTTCACAGGGCAGCCCTTTCTTCGGCAGCCTGGCATGCTCAGCTCTTGTCCAGCTGTGAAGCACTAGAACTCTTGTTCTCCTCTTGGTCTCCATTTCAGGAGCAGACCCCTGTTCCCTTGCTGAGCGTGCTGCACGCACTGCTCAGCTCTGACTCACCAGCACAGTAGGGAGCTGGTGGGATAAGCTTTCCTTCCCATCCCTCACTGGAAGTGCAGCAGGTACCCCAGATGCCTGCGACATCTTTTACTCATGTGTGTACCACAGAAGTCTCTTGGGGATATTTGGTCCATGGGATGGAGGAAGATGTGATTTATTTTGCTTTTCTTTCCTCCCCTGAGCAATAGGCCCTTAGACTGCCACATCCTTGCAGTGTATTTGGGGGCTGGGGTGAGGGGTTGCTGATAAAGCCCCCCAGACTGACTAGGGCTGTCTTCCCACCTGCAGCTGGGAGAGCAGCGTTCCCTGTGCAGTGTTTTAATATTAAACATATCTGTGCTAATGCAGGAGCGCCGACCCACCTGGTGCAGAGGAGCTTGTCCTGACCTGGTTTGGGAGAATTTTGTCTTGATGCTTTTCTCTTCCTCCTTGGAAAATAGCTGAAGAAATCAGGGGAGAAGCCCCTGCTGGGTGGGACTCTGATGGAAGATGCCATCCTGTCTGCTATTGCGGCCATGAACGAACCGAAGACCTGCTCCACCACAGCGCTGAAGAAGTATATCCTGGAAAATTACCCAGGGACCAACTCCAACTTCCAGGGTAAAGTACTGATCTATTGCTTCTATTCTGCATGCTGAGAGAGTCCTGCAGCTGCAGATGTGCCTGTGCAGCACCTTGAAGCTGCTCTGTTGAGCTTGCAGGGAGCTGCAGCTGCTCAGTTCTTTGTGCTGCAGAGATGCACTGTGGTTTGAATTCCCATCAGCCCCTTTCAAGCCAGACAAAGGCCAGTTCCTGAGACAGAATGCACAATTCTCTTGTGTATAACCAGGAAGGGGGAATAGTATTTAAGTACTTTATTGTTCTTAAATCACCAAGTTGATTTCATCCTTCTCTGCTTTGAAAGGCATCGATGCAGTTCCTAACTGTGTTTCATTAAGAGAACTTGTGTTGTTTAACTTTTTTAAAAAATTCACGAGCACCCCTCTTACTGATTTGTTTGAGACCCTACTTCTGATTTTTAAAAGGTCAAGAAATAAGGAGAAAAGCCACTTGTATTTTATTTGAAAGGGAGATTTGGCATATCTTTGTTCCCAGGAGTGACCAGGAGTGACTAATGTCTGGTTTGACTTTTGCCTGAGCAGAGGCTTTCAGGCAGATCTTCTGATGGCTTATTTGGGTTATTTGGGCTGAGCCCCAGTGCAAGTGGCTGGTGCTGAAGGTCAGTTGAGACAGGCTGAGTTCACAGCAGTCTCTGCTCAAATCTAAACATAGATCAGTTTGTTCCTGTGGTGTCACTTAGCTGGTGCCATTCCTCGTGAGCAGAGGAGATTGCTGATCCCAGTCTTTATCTGGAGCACAGTATCAGCACAGCTGCTTGGTGCAGGGTTACTGACACACAGCACAGGTTCCAGGGCTGAAGTAGCTGCCCTGAGACCTTCTGCCAATTAGAAATTGATGTTGGGTGTGACTTCTTAATCTCAGAGCAGGAAAAAGAGCTTCCAGGCTTCCTAAGCCCTCGCACAGTTTATTTTCAGGACCACTGGAAACGTCCCTTGTCCTTAGGGCCTGTGTTGAGCCAGCCTCCAGTGCTTGTCACTCCTACAAGGCTGAGAAGGAAATCTCAGCTTGCAATCTGTTGTTTTCTTTCTCCTTCCATTACATAAAAGGAATTTTGATGATCTCTGCTTTGTTCTGAGAGCAACTGGAGGAAGATCTGGTGAGATGTGAAAAGCAGGCGGGCACACACTGCAGAGCCAGAGCTCTGCTCTCCTCCCCAGTTTATGCCTCCTCTCAGAACTGGACTTGACTGGAGTCAAATCCTTTATGTGCTTTATTGACCTTTGACACCCAGAGTAAAACCAGCCTTAGGGTTATAAAAACTTTGGAACATGCTTGAGATTGGACCTTGTTTTTCACTGGAAGCTCAATATGTAAATGGTCCCTCTAATTCAGCCTGAAAATGGTTCTGAACTGACTAAACAACCCAAGCCTTCTGCCAAAGATCCCCTGTACTTGCACAGTTTGAGTTACAATTCTTACAAAGTAAGAATTCCATACAATGGAATGGCTGGAATAAAAGACTGGAATAAAAAGTTCATCTGTTGTATTTCTAGATGAAATATTTTACCCTTTAAAAACAAAACAAAAAGCAAACCACAGTGTGGGGAGGGATGGAGTACATGCAACATTTAGAACATGAGGAAATCAAAATCAGGGTAAAAGGAGTGTTTTAAAACACACTTTAGAGGACAGGTCCGAGACCTGGGCTAAATTTGGACAGAGGTAGTTATATGGTGTTCTTGAATGATTTATGAAGGAGCATCCCATGATCCAGAAACATGCATTGTTCTTGACTCCTTCCTCTGGAGAATTTAAACTCTTGCCAAGTGCTCAGAAGCAGTATCTTGTATCTTGCTTGAAAACTGACTGAGAGGATTTCCCATCCTTACTCCAGCGCTGATTTCAGAGGGCATAGCAGAGAGCAGTGAGATCAGACAAGAGGATAAAGATAGTAACACAACCTTTCTCTGATTTCCTTTTTACAGTGCATCTACTGAAGAGAACCCTGCAGAAATGTGAGAAGAATGGCTGGATGGAGCAAATTTCTGGGAAGGGCTTCAGTGGAACCTTTCAGCTTTGTTTCCCTTATTATCCTAGGTAAAGAGCTTGTCTGTAAAATGATGTTCAGGAGTTTTGCACAGCTCAGGTAGCAGAGCTGAAGTTCATGAGCCAACCTATTTACAGGGAGGTCGTGGAGGGTTTAATCACTGGTGAACTGCCATGTTGTCACCCATGCTCTGGATAATGGCATTACTTGGGTGAACAGAAAGCAAACTTCATTAGCAAGGGAAGCTTTTAAGGGCAGTGGAAATACTGGGCTCAGGTAGTCTGTTGTGCTGTTTTTGTTGCAGGCTGGGCTATTGAATTCACCAGAGCAGGGAGTGGGGTTCTCCATGCCAGGATGCTCCTAAGGAGCAGGACCCAACTGTTCCTTCCTTAGGGGAGGAGAGGTGGGAGGATGACCTAGATTAGCTACTCCAAGTCTAAAGAGCCTTTCTTCTCCTGCTGTGAGCTGATACTGTGCTGGGCCATGTGGAGCCCAAGGATGTCCCAGGAAGAGCCAAATGGCAGCACAGTCATTGAAGAGCTGCTCCCCAGCTCCCTGTGTTGCACACGAGTCCCCCACAGCTTCAGCCATGCTTAGTGATGAGTCTCATCCTGCCTTTGTGGTTTCTCTCCCTGGGTTTGCAGGGAAGGAGCAACAAGGGATAGAAATGGAGAAGAGACAGCTTAGGGCTGATGCAGTCCCAGGCAGAGACTAAATAACCTTGGTTTGGGACAGCAGCAATCACAAAATTCCTGGGGGCATTTCTGGATTAGGCCAAAGCTGTAACCTTAGGGGAAAGCTGCAGTGCCAGAGGAGAGCCAGGGTTACCCAGGGCTTGCTTACCCTGGAGTTGTATCCTTAGAAGCAAATTGCACCCTGACCAGACCCCTCTTGTAGCCCAGATGTGCTCTATCCAGAGAAGCAGCAGGATGAGGATTCTGAGGAATCTGATGAGGAAGAAGAGGAGGAATCTGAGGAGGAGGAAGACTCTGAAGAGGAAGAGTCTGAGGAGGAAGAGCCACCACCAAAGAAGAGGTATGGCAGCATGAGAGATGAGTGGGCTCCTTTGGATGAAATAAGTGTCTGTCACAGCTGTAGAGTGCTCAGGTGTGTCTCGTGGTGTGCTCACTTATCCACAGGGCTGTTGCTCACAGGTGTTGGCAGAAGTTTCTAATTATTCCTTATTCCAGAGGTACTGACCTCCCCCATTCCATAACTCGAAGCCTTCCTCTTTTCTCCTGCAGATGAGAGAGAGCCTGTGTTTATTCTTTGTGTTGCCTTTAGTCTCCTGCTTTAGCAAGTGTGATGTTTCACGTAAACTTTTTGTATTTATTGTTTCCTTAAAAAAGTTCTTCCCCACAGTAATTATTTGCAGCTCTGTAGCCAGATATGAGACCTGCCTCACTCAGAATTTGGACTTAATATGAGTGTTGTTTGTTAAGTAATAAAATCCCACTTAGACAGGAGAGAGTGCTTAGGGCTCTTAATTGTTCTGACAGCAGACTGATTCACTGTCATTATTTATATGTTTATTTTCCTAACAAAGGGGTTGGAAGCCTCCCTGGCAGCTCTGTGGGGATGGGAACTGCTCAGTGCAGAGCTACCAGAGGAGCTCTTGCTCTCTGGGATTTAGCTCATGTAATGTGCCGGCAAAGGACAGGGATGCCAAGATGTGCTTCATTCATGCAAACTGCTGACAGCAGCTCTGCTCTGGGTACTGTTTGTGCCTCCACTGAGCTCCTGTGCTGTCTCTTCCTGACAGGATGCAGAAGAGACCACCCCCCAAATCCCGGAGCAGGGCCCCTCCGATGAAGCGAAGAGAGTCCAAACCCAAGCCAAGGAAAACCCCCGCTGCCCGCCGGGACAAAGCAAAGCCCCCTCCCAAGGTCAAAACCCCCGCTAAGAAAGCCAAACCGGCAGCCCCAGCCATCAAGAAAGCCTCCAGTGGCAGCTCTTCCAAGAAACCAGCAGCCAGTGGGAGGAAGGAAGTGAAACCCTCTGCCAAGGGCAAATCCACCATGAGGAAATCTCTCCGGGCAAAAAAGTAAAATGTTTCCAGTGTCAGGGAATCCCATGGTCAAATCCACAATCTTGTTTTATAAGTCAACGTGCATTTGTATTTTAGTTCTGATGCTTAAACACTTCTTTAATTTTTTAATTTTTTTTTTCTTGAATGATGGGGAAAAGCTGAAAACTAAATCAAACCAACCCAAGCATTCGTTAGATCTCGATGCTGTGCCTCGTGCCTGCCCCTCCCCTGGAACGAGTCATCTTTACTTTCTGCAATAATTTTAGGACTTTTCTAGGACGTCTCTAATCTGTACATTTATGGTGTTCCATGTGGGTTTCGGGGGGGAGGGTTGGCTTTTAAAACAATTCTTCAAAGAAGACCTTTATATCTTTAGACAGCAGGAACAGGATGATTGGGGGAATGTGATTCTTTAATGAGAAGGTGCGGTGGCAGAGGAGTCCTCCCTAGATCCCTGCATGCCGAGGTCCTTGGCGCTTCCACGAGGGAGCCGTGTACATACAGCACTTGCACTGAGCCCCCCAGGTGCTGCTTTCCTCAGCCACAGGCCCAAGGGTGGCTGCTGAGGCAGATCCTCAGTGCCTCCTGGGGCTCTGGTGCCAGAGGGGCTCCAAAAGGGGCAGCTCTCGGTTAGGCGGGTGATTTGAATTAGTGTTTCCACACCACATTTGTTACCTTAAAACCAAAATATATTAAAGTCTTCTTGAATCCAACTTTCAAATGTTTTTAAGAGATGAAAAGCCTGGGTTTGTCACCTCTTGTTTACCCTTTTTTAAAGAGAAGTTGGAGAGCTATACAATTGCTAATGTAGAGATGTTAATAAGTGAAGAACATGCGGTTTGCTAAAATAAAATGAAACTAGATTCCAGGCCTGCCTTCTGAGTTCATTCTCTCCTTGCCCCAGCTTCTTCTGGAAAGGTAGAGAGGAGGGAATACAGTCACCACAGATTGCAGGAGAGGCAGATCTTTGTTCAAAGCCAGCGTGATTTAGCCTGAGCCACTGCCAAGCTCTGTAGCTGGACCAGCTCCTGACCTTTTTCTTCCCTGATTTCTCTGGAGACAAAGGTGAGTGAGAAAGAAAGCTCTGTTGGAACCTCTTGTTGGTTCTCTTCTCCCCTTGTCAGTGATCAGTGAGGACAAAAAAACCCAGCTGAAAACTCCCCCAGCCCTGCTCAACAGAGCAGCCCCTGCCTTCAGAGCACATCTCACCACGTCCCTGCTCTGCCATGCACAGGGCAGCGATGCCAATGGGACCTGACAGTCTCCAACGTGCTGCTGCAAAGAGCTGGGAGGAGGGGAATTACACAGAAAGGGAGAAAAAAGCTTCATTGAATTTATTCTTTTCAGCTGCTGTGTGCTACCTCTAACTGGGAGTTAAAAAATTCCTGTAGAAATGGCCTAAATTGTTCCCAACCCTGTAAGAAGGGTACAAACAGCAGGTTAAAAATCACAGCTGATGGGAAACAGAGTGAAAGCTCTGATCAAAGAATGATCCACGGGGATGTAAAGCAATTAGAAACATTAGTTAATGGCTTGTTCCTGGGGCTGCTTGTTCCGAAGCCATGGGGTTTGTTGGCACTGTGGTGAGATGAATCAGAGAAGCTTCTCAGTGCCAGTATATTTATGGGGACAAGGTGTCTTCGTTCAGGTGCTGGGTATTTTTCAACCTCCCTCTTCCCAATGGCATTTCCACACCGACAATCTCTCTGGGTATTTGTTAAAACACTGCTCTGGATGGCACAGATTTCTCACATCCAAGCAGGAGCACCTTGAATTAAGAGTTGTGGCAAAACCTTGGTCATCACTAGACTATGGCTGTGGTTTGAATTAAGTGATTTCTGCACATTGAGTCAAAAAAAAGTCACAGGGTTGGTTGTATTAAATCCAAAGGAGTGATTCTCTCTTAGCAGGAGCAGTAACTGGGACTGAATGGGAAAATGTTCATTGCCAGCAGAGCAAACGCTTTCTGCGGGGTTTGTGCCGGCTCAGCCACTCACTCTTCCCCAGTCTCCGCTTCCTGGCCAGACTGGGCTCCGTTATGTTGTTTCTTCAGCCCCATCTGTCCTATTTTTTCCTTTTTTTATACGGTTCCTCCATTACTGATGATCGGGTGGCTCTGCCATTGCAGCTCACGGGGTCTTGAAGCAGCTGGTACTGCTGGTCAAACCCTTTTCCTGACACCCTTGGGACTGCTGGGGCATGAGGCAGGGATTTCTGGATGCAGTGCCAGGGTTTAGATCCCATCTCGTCCCCAGCCTGCTGCTTTCCCACTCCAGGAGCCAAACTCATCCCTGGGACTGGGGGCAGCTTCCTTGGGCAGGCCCGGAGTGTGTGGGGAGCCTCTGGGTTATGGGGTTGTTCTGCAGCGAGGCCAGAGCCACCCCTCTTAATTTTTTTTCCCAGCAAAAGCAGGCAGCGGCGGGCAGAACTCCAAAGGGAATGTAGAAATTGGGGTGAAAAGGGTGTGAGCATCAGGGCAGGGGGTGGCGAGCGAGCAGCCACGTGTGTACGTGTCAGGGTTAGAAATCGCTGCTCCGCTGGGCACGCCGGAGGAGACGGAAAAAGGCGCAGAGAAAATCAGCTACCGCCGCGTTTTCCAAAATCCCGAGCGAGCGTTCCTGCTCGCCGGCGCTTCCAAGAAACGGAGAGAACCGAGGAGGAAAATTGCGGTGATTCATCGCGGGCAGATCGGAGGCAGGAAATGGGAGTTTGCTGCCTGCCCCGTGCCCGCCGTGGGCTCCGTGGGCTCCGTGGGCTCCCTGGGCTCGGGATCGCCGCGGCCTGGCTGGCGGCGAGGG